GACAGAGAACGGGACACTTTCTCTCTCTTCCGGGACGATGAACGGGATGATGATGCGGTTTCTTCCTGGTGGACCATATTTTGTTGAGAGAGACTTAAATTCTTCCCACACACCATCATATGGTCACAGAGGGCTTTCTTCAGTGAGTTCCAGTAGTATGGCAGGTTCAGGGGTTGATGTGTATCAGGAGTAATTTTACTGTCTTTTTCTTTTCTATGGTAAAAAAAACTCTGTGCTGTGGCCTCATTTTTCCTGTTGCAATGCCATAGGTCACTTCAGGTGTGGTGCCACAGTATCAGGGAGAGTACAGGACCAGGTCAGTGATGGTGGGCAGAGGCAGCAAACACTTGGCTGGGATCATGGACTCTGTGATTGATCCATGTTTGGGGTATTGAAATCCTGGTTCATGTTTCCAATCTTCATAAAAGATAAGACACAGAATTTGATCTCCTCCTCTGTAAGTGTTACCACTATAAGCAGGAGTCTATCACATGGTCATAACTGCAAGGAGATGCAAGGAGATGTGAACATGCAGGGAGTCATTTTAAAATATAATAATTTATTTCAGTTCTCTGTTTAAGAACAATGTTCCTCAAAGTCCCAGTGGAGATGATCTGAGGACCACACAATCTCTCAACTACACAAGGTTAGAGGCCTGTTTCCAGGACGATCAGGCACCACTGTGTCGATTGCAGAATAGACATCAGCCAAAGGATCCCACTTTACTGACACCCGATGGTTACATAAATCTGAAATAAATCCATTTTCACACAAACAGGTTTTCTTTGTGAGGATTTTCTTTACCTTTACAAACAGGTCAAACAACATTACCGAGCACAGCAGCAGTCTGCCTGGTTTTAGAACAAGAGGAATAACAAGAATAATTTTTAGACACAAGTTATTTACCCACCATGGTCACAGAACACAGAACATCAAACTTGTACAGCAACATGTGGTATATGTGAACGATTACATGGAGACAGAATATGACATTATGGAACTTTTGAATTCATTAAGATCATCCTGACACAGAGAAGTAGAAGAATCTTCAATCCTCCATCACACACCTGGCAGGAGACTTACAGCAGTGACAGAGTGTTTACACAACAGCTGAGAGTTCCTGTAAACCAGCTGATTTGCTGTCAGCTGTTCAGCTCACACGTAGAGCTCTGAGACGCAGTGTGCTGGTTCTGCTTCTTCTAATTTTCTAACCACTCTCTTGTGACATTTTGCAGTGATCTGTGGCTAAAAGAGTTCCTGCTGCAGAAACCTCGAAACCTAATAAAACCCCAAAGTGTTGATGAAGCAACTTAAACTTCACACACAGTCATACAGAACTTTTAATGCTATACTTTTCCTCTCACACACACTCACACTCTGCTGGTTTGTCTACATCATCTGTGTTTTATTCTGTGTTTAACCTCTTAACATTTTTTAAATATTATAGTGTAATCGAACCACGGCAGACCTGACGACATGTACATGCTTTGCAGCAGACTTTACACACACACGGTTGCTGTACAAACACAGTCGGCTGCTGCTCCACAGCTCACAGCCTGACACAAACCATCCACAATCACAACAGTTGGCGACGTGTGATTGCGGATGCCTCTCAGGTGTGTCGGCCTCCCCTGCAGCGACACCGCAGACCACACCCCGCCACATTTTGTCTTCTGTTGTTCACTCAGTTGCTTTGCTGCCACTTATCCATGTTTTGATGGATTAGTTTGCTGCACTGTAATGGTTTAAAGTAAAGAATGATGTGTGACTGGTGCACAGTGGCTGTGGCTTAATGCTCAGAGGTAGCTTACAGCAAGTGAAGCAGAGATTAATACGATTTTTAGCTGATGATTCTTAGATCCATTCGCTGATTTTCACCTTCATACCAACTTTATACCATCTAGTATGAAGACAGTGTACTCTCAGTGCAGAGAGTGGAAGTATGTCTGGACAACTCATGAAACATCTCTTTACATCTTGTTGAATTCAGTTGTGTAGAGCAACTGAATTCAACAGCAGGTCAGCAGGTCACAGCCTTTACATGATGCAAAATCTGTGCAACTTCATTAGCTTTGTTAATCAAATAGTCAGATGGTTGTT